TCTTTTGTTTCATTAATCGATCACAACTCAACTTAATATTAATTCGCGTGTCTTCGAAAAACTATTGGGGGATATTTTGACTCCAATATGGGCAACAAAAATGGTCCTTATTTTATCCATACATACGTACGTAATTTTTCTAATTATTTGCATTTCTTTGCGCATTGATGTTTCCTCAAGTTACTTAAATTCACAGAAATCCGATCTAAATAACAGCGTAAACAAACATGACGGTTCGGCGTCCACCAACGTTTATAACGATCTGTTAATCTAACGAATCAGAGGCAATCACGGTCGACTGTTATCCTTCCAGCTGCCAACAGAACGAGCAGATTCCTCGCGGCCGCGATCGATAGCCATGTGGCGTGTGATGCGGATGCAAACGGAAACGCGCGTCGATTCGATCGTCCTTTAATTGACATAACGTACGAGGATGTCAGCCGGCGGTATCGGCGTTTACGCGCGATGAGTTACACTACCCGGATCCGGTTATTCGGATCCCGGGGTGCTTCGATCGCGTTAACGACACGCGTAAACACGGGAAGCAGCACGCGCGAACCGGATCTGCTGGAAACGAACTGTCGCCGCTTCGGAGCTCGTCCCGATGTTCACCGGGGGACACGCGACGCACTTGTTTAACATCCACGTGTCACGGGCTACGTCGATTCCTCTGGTTCCAGCGCGGCTCTCTCTTCTTCTCCTCTCTCTTCTTCTCGACCCTCTGCGTCGCCACCCTGCCCCGTCCGGAATCGCGAAATTCAATTTCCTCGTCGTCGTGCTCAGCGACCAATTGCCGGCTCGTCTGCCGCTTTCCACGCCGGGCGTCGAAGAAACACGGGTATATAGAATTTCGGAAAACGAATTCCATTCAATTTCTGGGCTGTTTACTCGCGAGAAACGCGATCTGTTTGAGTCTTGTTCCTCTTCCTCGGAGGTACCCTCGATTCCTCGAGGTATATATGTATGTGTGTATATATATATATTATATATATGCCGATTGTATCAATAAAAGTGCGAAACAGGAGCTTACAAGGAGTGGCAGCTTCTCGAGCTTCGCGAGATATCTTTCGTGTTCGAATCTCGGGTGAAAAAATTCTCGTCGCTCTGCCGAGTTCAATGTTAATGCGTAGGCTAACGAGACGTTCGTTAGGGATTGATCGGGGTGAAAACATTTTATGGCACTTCACACGTGAACGTTGAATTCTCGCTGGCCCGATTTTCCGAATCGTCCGACCGACCGACAGAGGGAGAATTTGAAAAAAAATTTGCAACTTTGCGCGAACGTGATTCAAAATGGTACAACTAAAATGGGACAACTCTTCTTGCCTCCCGAAAAATGATTCTAGGGACGAACACACGAAGAATGAAAATACAAGATATAGAAGTTGCACAGTGTGAACATTTTCGTCAGTTTTTTCAAATTTTCAACTTTTCGCGATGCTACATTTTTTCCTACATTCAGTTTAATTATTCAGTTAAATATTCGCGATAATATAAAGATTTGAGATTGGGATTATTTTTCAGCGGGTGGAAATAGTTGAAAATGTTCCGCTGTCACCGTAAGCCAGATTTCTGCAAGAGTTTCAAATTTTGTCCGCGCGCGAGTCACGAGTTTCGATCACGAGTGCCGGACTCGTTCCTCGTTTCCATTTTTCCATCCGAATTATCGCGACTCGGGATTCCCCGGAGACGATCGAGGAAAAAGCGGGCGATAATCCTCGCTAATTGTGCTGGACTTCGCGAGGTGAAAGAGCAGCGTACTTTCGGCGAGGGATAAAAATAAGTTGACAAGAAGGCGTGCCAAGGACGACGGAAAAAAAGCGAGCGAAGAGAGAGAGAGAGAGAGAGAGAGAGAGAGAAAGCGAGCTTTCGGCGACGTCTGACGAGAGACGGGCACCGGAAGAGAGGAAGATCGGAAGTAAGCGACGAGGAAGGACGAAGACCGGGGTAAACAGAGCTAAGTGAAGTTAACGACGGAGCAAGAAGAGCGGCAAAAATGACCCCGGGAAAATTACCGCACGCGAAACGGTTTAATGTCCAAAACGACGAGCGACGAGAGGGGGTGGTGGTGGGTGGAACACGCGAGCGAGAGAAGATGCAGCCGCTTAATGACCATCCTGTACATTCGTATCTTTTCTGGATAACTTCTTTCTCTTTCCCCTCTCGCTTGTGTTCTTCCTTCTTATTTCACTCGTGGTCCCTCCGTAGCTTCCCCTCTCTCTTTCCGGCTTTATCTTCCGTTTTTCTCCCGCCGACTTTCCGTACGATTTCGGTGTGTGCGTGGGTGCCGTTGGGACCATTATCTGTAATTGCTTTCCTTAATTCGATGCTCGTTGCTCTGCGTGGCGGATGGTAAAAGAAACAAGAAAAAGAAACAAAAAAGAAAGAAATTCCTTCCGGGGGAAAGGGTTAAACCGGGGGAAAGGGTTAAACCGGTGTTTGACGGAAGAGGAACGACTCACTCGAACAACCGGTTCTCCGGTCGGGGAGAGTTCACCGACTGAAATTCGATTAGAAATTCTACCTCCTCTTCCACGCCATGTTATTATCCACGTTATCGACGCGCCAAATGAAATATGAAATTCGATTTACCCTCGAAACGTAACGTTCAAGCCGGAGAAGAAAGGTTTGTTCGAGCTATTTAAATGCCGCAAGTTCCTGGCTAATGTCTTAATTACGCGCTAATCGACTTTCGAGTTGGCTTGTCGGACTGCCGGTCGTTTCACCGATCGAGCTCCAACGGAGGGTAGTTTTAATGGTAAGTAGCCAAGAGCCTGTCTCGTCCCTCCTCTCTGTCTCTCTCTCTCTCTCTCTCTCGCTCTTTCCCTCCCTGTTTAATCGAAAGATAATCAAATGCGGTCTAAAGAGATGGAGAGAGACGGAGATAGCAGGACGAAGAGGCAACGGTAGAAGGAGAGTGTGTGTGTGAGAGAGAGAGAGAGAGAGAACGTAAGTAATGGTCGTTTGTTCTTGAATGTCGAGAAGTTGATGTACGAGAAGTCGTGGCAGTCGGATGGTCGCGCGCGAGCACAGGAGAAGAGAGAGCGCGCGCGTTCCATGCTAGCTCGCATCTCCCGCTTGCAAATTGATAGACGCCGCCACGGCCGTAAATCACTTTACTGACAATTGATTTGGTGCCCTCCGTTTTACCTCGTTGTAAACTCCACGCCACGCCGATATTTACGATCGCGCGTGTACACACGACGTCACCCAGTGACTCACTGGGCGTCCTATCCACGACAAATCTTTTACATTTTTGCGTCATTCTCCCTTCCTCTGTGTGTTTGTGTGTGTTTGTATGTGTCGACTTTCCTTTTCTCCCATCGCTTCCTCGCCCCCGCCCTTTTTTCACTTTGCTGGCCATTTTTTTTCTATCAGCTATAGCTCGGGATTTTCAGCGCCCGGTCAAAACGAATAAACGACGTCGTTACACACACACACACACACACACACAGACGTTATTTACGAGTTAGTTTTTTTTTAGCGTTCGAAAAAAAAAAGAAAAAGAAAAATTCGTTTTCGACATCTGCTGGTAAATATTTTTCCACGAAATGCGTTAAGAAAGATAGTTAGGAACGAATTGAATAAATCGAGAGGTATTTAATTACGAAGTATTAGAGTCAGCGAGCTTTCTGAAAGCTCGATCTTGCCAGAGGAGGCGTGTGGGCCTGGGATTTCTTGGACTGTAGTCGGCGATGGGGGCCTAAGTAGCGCACGACGTATACAAGGACACGTAATGGGTGTGGTGCATTCGTCTCGGTGTGTTGTCTCGAGGGTGGCGATTCGTCTTGCTTACTAACCTCGTCGTTGACACCACCCACTACGGGAACAGCTACCATCCGTTTCAAAGGCGGCGCGGAACCCGCAGGAACCAGGCAGCGACCTTGCTGGCGACCATCCTCGAACGCTTTGTTAATCTCCTTGACGTCGGTGCCGGTCACTATATCGATCAGGGTCATACCGAACATCGCTTCGTTTCTACGTGAACGCGCTTTCTGTTCGATTAAGCTTACGCATGACAGTCCATTTCTCATTCTGTCACATTGCTTATCCCTTTCTTTTCTGACGGTTGACTTTATAAGTTTCAGGTTCAATTTCTTCGACGCGAGAGAGTATCTGTCCCGCGGACGATTATGAACGATTCTTTGCCGAGTTCGCAGACGATGATCGGCTGAGTTTTCATTCATAATAGAAACGGTGTTACTCTCGAACTTTGAAATTCCTCTACTGTTTCTACAGCTAGTTAGAGATCACACAATTAGAGAAATCGCGTCGATTAAAAGTTTTCACAGACAGTCTTTGAATTAGAGTCGAGATCATTGAATTAGAATTATTTAGAATTTTCAATTCCATGTATACAAGTTTATGACAAGTATCAGCGAGTTTCAACGAAACTTTAATTTCAACTTCATTAAACAGTGAAATATTATTATGCATGCATGTTAATAATACACGTATGTTAATAATGGTTTTATGAGATCAGATACAGTTGCAAGAGCGAACGCTTCATTTGGATTTTTAAATATTTATGTAAGTATAAAATGAAGTTTTGCTGATCTTGTACAAGATGTATGCCGGAAATGCATACATATTGCAATAAAAGCAAAGAGGGAGAATCTCGTGAATTAATAACGTCTACGTGTATTTAATATTTAAATTACGGTCAGATCCTTTACGTGTAAAGTATTGAAAATTCAGGCTGCTTCTAATCGATGCTATCGCTAAACCTGTACGCTCTACCTAAGAATCTTTATATTACACTCATTGTTAGACCCAAGTTAGATAGTCAACGTAATTGCATTTGGTAGCTGATCTTGTATTAACTCTAATATGCTTAATACATATTTGATCTGTTTACTCTCAATCATTTAGAAAAGCAATCGTCACACACTTACACTGTTAATGGTTTGTCAACATTTTTATATACTAGAATATTTTCCATAAAATAATAAAAACCTCATTTAAAGAGAAGCTTTAAAGGGAATGGCTTTACAACTTACCGGTGCGTTTCTCAGCGTCGCGATAGGTGACCTCGCTGAGAATGACTGGTTGACTACGACCTTTCGCGTTCATCGCGTAGACCGCGACATGAACGCCAGCCTCGACGGACGCCTCCAATCCGGTGAGTGAGAAACTCGGCTCGTCAGCGTTCGAGACGTTGTAGAGGGGTTGGCTCCTCGACAGGAAATCCACGTCGCCGTGGTACACCTCGAGGATGAATTTTTGCGGAAGCCCGCCATCGTAGCCAGCCACGCATTTCACCTCGACGCTGGTGTAAGTCTGGTTCGCGAGGGTGCAGTTACGAACCGGAAATGGTTTTCCTGAAACGAGAACGTCACCACGGTTAAATGGCACAATTTCGCTTCGTGGCTGGGACCAATGTCGTTCAAATTTTACGAGCTTATGTCGCCCCGTTTCCCTTCTTTTCGATTCGCTCGTCCCGCCCCGGGTGCTGACTACTCTTCTCACCTTTTTCGGGATTACTAACGCGTTCGGAACCGATCACGCGACGTTCATTGTGTCATTTAGTGTCTCTGCTCGGGAGAGCCAAGAACGCAACTGTTGTTACTCGATTCTTCAGTTGGAATTGAGAAAGTCTTTCTATTAATGAAGTCAACAAGGTGCATTGTATAACTATTAGTTTCAACGTTGAAAAAAAAAAAAAAAATGGCAGAGGGTTGGACAAATTTTATTTGAAACAAGGATAGGGATAAGCATTAGACACTGGCGAGCAAATCGGCTGCGATCACGAAGGTTGATGGTCTCTCCTTTAGAACAATCCCTTAGAGTTGTACGACCCTTTTCCGCGGCGTTGAGACAAATATTTCATTGAATGCACGAATACAATCTACATACAATCGATTGTACAATCAGTCACGTGTGTATCTCTTAAGAAGAAGAAATTGTGTTTGAAGAAGAACAAATAAAATCAGAAGGACAAATTACGTAGAAATTACTTTAAATTACGTTTATCTTCAACACGGATTTAATTAATATTAATTCCATCATAAATGGAAAAATATCGTCAGATACTAAGCGCGTCTTCGCCACCTTCTTTGCCTACGATTCGATTCTTTCTGTGTTCCTCACACTCAACCCGAAGAATCGATCGTCACGACAGCGTTAACTTTCGTTCCCGACAAAGGTCTGGAGTCGCGCGAGGGGTTGGTTATTTCGTCAGGCAAAAGTTGACGTTCTTTTGGGAGCTTCGGAATATTAAAACGAGCCGGCGCGTGAAATTGCTTCGTAAAGGATTTCAGTCTTGGCTGGCTCTTTAGAACGGTTACGATTGTAAACGGACGGAGGTCCGTAGCTAGTCGCGCTCGCCCTTTTAACTCGCAATATTCCACGGCTACTTTGTGTGAATTCGTACGCTCCGAGCGAGCTTTTACGAGCTTCCTCGAAACGGTCGGAAGTGGGAAACGGCGAGACGCCACCGCGGCCGGACCAAGCGTCGCGTCCTACCCCTTACGCGTGCAAGTTGTTACTATCCTGCTGCTCCCAGCCAGCCCGGAGTACAACCAACGAATCAAACGAACGACGAAAATTATTTCCTTCCCCCAGGATGCGACGCATCGTTCGCACTACAATCCTTCGTCGAGATGGAGTCACTGTTGTGTCCGGATCTCTCGCCGCCTCGCATCGTTTGTACAACGCTCGCTCGTTCGAATGAAATTTCCGTCCGGCGATCCGCTCCTTCTTTCTCTTTTGTTATCGCACCAGGACTCGTTTGTCGCCCTTTGTCCGGTAATATTTCCTGGATACTTTGTACGCGCTCGACGAAGGTCGGCTCCTACAGGTTGGCTGAGAGCACGCGAGACCGTCGTCGGCTCTCTCTTGGAAATCAAGCTCGCTCCCTCCCCCGAACTCCGGTTGAAAAATGTTTGCGCGTCTACGAGTGGCAAGGATTTAGTGTACCGGGATAGTAATGGTCACAGAGATGTCCCGGCTCTTTTTCTTTCTTTTCGTTCCCGTCCTGTCTCACCTTCCGCGTCCCGGCGCCGTGATGCAGTTTGTTGCATCCTTTGAAAATTCTTCTTCTCTCGCCGGCGCGCCGGTGAAAGCGCAGTTGCGCTCGTGATTCGCCCAGGTTTCTTCGCCTCCTTCCTTCCTCTCTCCTTTTCTTCCCTCCGTTTCTCTTTGTTTCTCCCCTTTCTCCCCGTTCTCTCGTTCGAAATAAAATTTCCCCCTTCTTAAACAGACAGCGCAGCTATCACGAGTCCGAGCAACGAGGAGAAAATAAATATTGTTCGTCTTTCCCGTCGACGCGAGTAAACGGCTCGAGAGAGCGAATCCTTCGGCTCGACTTTATTTCGCTTTGCATCCTATTACCCTTCGTTCTCTTTTTTCCCCTTCCTCCCTCCCTCCCTCCCTCCCTCTCCACGCCAATTTACAGGCCAGGCTCTCCGTTCTTTCGCCTCTCTGGCTAAACGCCCAGCTCGCTCGCGGATCCCGCGTTAATCGCGAAACCACGCGCCTTTTCTTTCGTCTCTCTCTCTCTCTGTCTCACTCTCTCTCTCTTTCTTGTACGTTTCTTTGAATTTTACCAAGGTTTCATCCTCCAGTCTGTCTCTTCTCGGCCGTTGTTCAATTTATTTCCATCCGGCTCGTAACGCGTACACACGTGCAACTTCTTCGCGGAGAGACACGCTTTTCTACTTTTCATCGCGAACCGCGATCGAAAATTTCATTCGTTGATATAAATGGGGATGAAATTGAGTCCGATATGTGCTTAAAAGTCAGAGTTCGATATCTAAGCTTCGTGTCATTGGTATGATTGTGAGTGCGATTCGAAACCATAAATGTTTAAAAATTGTGCAATTGTACAATTGTAATGTTTTCTTCAGAATGTGTATTTACTCAGAATAGACCTTTGTTTATACGAACCGGCTGAGAATCAAATAATTTATATAATTAGAATTCATACAGTGAGGAACAGAGTCCAATGATTTACAGTTGTGTTATAATGATGACAGTTAGGATTCAAATAATTGGATTCAATCAGAAAGAGTTCGTTTAATCGGATATTGTCTATAATTTATTATCTACAATAAATGAAGTCGATATAAACGGTCCATATATATAATTTTCTGTCGTTACTGAAATGCTTTAGAAATATATGATCTCACTATAAACGATTAACAACAGTATATGTATGAGAGGAGACTATTTATTCATTGGATATTAAAGTCTAACATATCTTTATTTTTGGCCTTTTTAAACTGCCATATGCTTCTTAATAGTTTTATGGGAACGTTCTCTATTTTTATTCTCACGCAAATTTCCACAAGTTGTGTCAAATAATTCCGATGACATTTAATACTTCGAATTGCATCAATAAAATGAACACATGGAAATAGCCTGAAAAAAGATTGAAAGAAATGAAAACCTACTTGCGAAGTATTCAATCCCATTTTCGTCCATCAATATATATTTTCGAATCAACTTGAAAGTGTCTATTGTTTCCATTTCCGGAATGTACTCACTAAACGTTCGAAACTGTCTTTCTTACACTGGAGCGTGCCATTGAAAATACTTATAAAAGGGTTCGATTTCAAGGAACTGCTCGATAAACCTACTTTCTACGTATACGAACGGCTATCTGAAAAATGGAAACGGCCGGCGGAATGTTCTTTTCACCGTTTCGAATCCGTTTGTTGCACCTCGCTGCGCCGAGCCGGCAGTCTGTTATTTAATCAACAACGGCCTCGAGGTAATGACGTTCCCGCGTCAGCGATTCTTTTCTTTCGTTTCTCAAATTTAGCTACGTCCATCGGGAAAACAGTTTTTTATTTCCAACGGAGGGAACAATGCCGAAAACCCGGCCGAACAACTTACAGTTTGTTTAATAAGAATATGGACACCACAAGAAAAGAAGTATTCATCCAGAATTTTGCACAGGTCGAAAGTTGCACTTAAAATACTGTTACGTACTCGATTAACAGTACAAAATTCTTTACAGAAAGAATTTTTTTTTTTTTCAGTAAAATGGCGTCCACATTCTTATTAAGGCATACTGTATAACTTTCCTTGACCTGGAGGTTAGCCCTTTCTCGCATCGGATACCTCTCCCAATGCCGACGCAATATCCAATATCAATAACGACAGATTTGAAAATAATTTCGTTTCGTCGAGGGCCGGTTTCCGGGTCGCTGCGGATGAATCAGTCTCTCGCCGAAGGTTACGACAACCGATGCTTGGGATTGCAGCGGAATCGAAGGCCGACCGACTAGCCTCGATTTCGTATCAGTCGATCTCGACCATCGAGTGCAGCAACGAGTTTCGAGATATTTCCTTTCCGCGACGTGAAGTATCGCGCGAGACGTTGCAGAAATTGTTTGGGCCGAGACGCGTTTTCAATAACGTTCGATTTGTTAAGGGGAAGTATTTCTTTGCAATTTCTCGCGAAGAACAACATTTTACAAACGTGTACTTGAAAAATGAAATGACCAAGTGACAGCAATTAATACCGCTGCGTTCTTCCCTGCCATTTTCGATCTGCCTGTAATTTTTTAACATTAAAAATTATACGTCGAATGTGAGCGAACGAAATGATAAAGTTCTTATTAGTACGCACGAACTCCCGGTTAAATCTTGGAACATTACAAATTCATTGGAACACTGGAACCACCGACGACATAAAATTTCCATCAGTCAGGGACGTTAAAGTGAAAGAAACAGAAAATCTTTATAATACAACAGGATACACAAGCTTTTATTTCTGTATTCTACGAAGAATCATTCGAATATTCAAAAATACATTGTTCTATATCTATAAAATATCTAACAATAACATCGAAATGGTTATTTTTTACCATTTTTGTGGTTCTATCGATTTCCTAAAACAAAAATAAAATCGAGGATCCTAGCGGCGTTAGGAATGTCTGGCAATTTCAATTTTAAAATTACCGAAGAATCAGTATCGGAATATCTCCTTAGAACAGGAAATTTCCTGAAAATCCGATAAAGAGAGTTTTCCAGCTTGCGATACGCCGTGACGTTTCATCCTCCTGCTGCCTGGAAATGGGTGCTTTTGTCCGTCGGGAGGTCTTTTTTTTTTTTTTTTTCAAATAAAGCAGAGGACAAAAATAACAAGGCAGCAGAGGATAGAACGAACGAGGAGAAGTAAACGGGATGAAAATGCGCGCGTTACGAGGCATCGGCACAATACAAAGGAGAAAGGATGCCGATTTGGGCGGCGGCGTGCGCGCGCGTGTGTATTCGTCAACGTCAATACGTTTTCGGCAGGTCGTCGCGTCAACGTCATTCTCGATCACGCGCGCGGCGGAAAAAAAAAAAAGAAAAAAAAAAGACATGGTAGGCGAGGCCGCGCGGCGCAAAATCCGCTCGTGGATTAATGTCGGTTTACCGCGCGATGATTGGTAGCATCGCATTGTACGCGCGGCGATAATTCCCGAATATCTGTCAGGATTTTGACCTCTCGTCGTCCCTGGCCACGCTGCAACCCTCGGAAAACCGGTCGCCCTTGGAAAATTGCTCGCAGGCTCGACGTACGATGCCAGTTCAAACAAAATGGCTCGCGCGCTTCAGTTTTGCTGCGTTCTCCTCCGTTATCAATCCGTTTTGCGGGAGAAACGATCGGTTGCGCATAAATAATTGGACATATCTAATAATACACGATTGACGAATATTTTTCTGTTGTTAATTATTATTTTCGACATCTTACTGAGATCAAACGAAGAGCATACTTGGTTTGTTCAAGTTTCTAACAATTGGTATCTGGTGAAATTTATAACAATTTTGTCAGTATGACTGAAAATACAAATTTCTTCTCGTACTTTAACAATTAACGTTAATTAAGGTATCTCAGCAAAATTAATTTTGAGTCATTGCTCTAATTATTCTGTTATTTATTGTTATTAATGGTGCTCTTCTATCACCATTTTATTTAATTCTATCAATTTATTAATTTCTATCAACTATACATGTTACAAGTAAATTCAGTTCGTTGGAATTTTATATTTTATATATTTGCAAGAATTGTGAACGTATCCGAACACGTATGCACGGTGATTCAATAATTGCAGCCTGCTGTTATTCAATTTCAAAGAAGGGGATGAAACCTATATTAAGGGCTGAAATTTCTCCAGCACGGTGCCAGAACAGCGTTTCTCCTCGATCTAAATCGTGGATAAATGAATTGATGATTTTGAAACTAGTCGCAAAGAATTAAAGACAACGGTGTTGCGTGGCAATAAAAAAAAAAAAAAAACTACATACGCACATCGAAGAACAATGCTGCTGCGAGATTTCTATTTCAATAGATTTTTTTATAATTACGTCGCGGACAATTATTAAATCACCCAGTCGCACGCTGTTGATTGTTTTTCACCTATTAATCGTCGATCATTAATTAAATTAATTTGTTTTCAATCAAACGTCCATCACGTCGGAATATACACACCGGAAGAAAACATACAAGCAATAGGTATTACCCGATGATGTTTATCAACGTGTTTATCGTGTGGTAAATTCGCCGATGCTTGCGCGTATAATTCCGCCGGTTAATCGATCGATTACGCTGACGCGTTAGTGTTAATGAATAGCGTTTCGAGCACGCGGCCCGGGCCAATTAATTGATTTTCCCCGATAGCTTTTTACGTAGCGAGCTTTTTACTCCACGCGAGAGAAAAAAAGAAAAACGAAAAGAAGAAAGAAAAATATCGCGGGAGAATAGGGGAGGGGGGGGGGGGAGAATGGAGCACAGTAGAGTGTAATCGTAACGGTGATATAATGTGGCGTAACCTGGCGCGGATAAATAATGGTCCGGTTGCCATAAAAAAGCGAGCGCGAATCGAACGGAGGCTCCGGATAAGTGGTCGGTTAACGGTGATACCGAGCGAGCGCTTGATTAACGATCGCTTCCGAACTAATTGGACGGATCTTTAGAGGTGGAACAATCTTGGTTTCGAAAGGGTAAATAATTGAGGCGTTAATAGTCTTGGTGGTCTTCGGGATGCGGTCCCAAGGGTGGCAAGAATGCCGCGCGCTCTTTGAATAATTTACGCGGGTCAGACTTTCGTCTGCTTGCAGCATAGCTCTCTCTCTCTCTTCCTCTCTTTTTCCACTATTTATTTCCGCGTTTCTCTCCGTCCGGTTCGATTCGCGCGCGACGTACTTGGAATCTCGAAGAACGCCGAGCAGATTGCAAAGTTTCAGCCTGCTGATTACAATATTGAATCACCGCGTCTCTCTCTCTCTCTCTCCACCTCTCGGTCGTACATGCAAATGAAATATTTGGGCGCCAGTTACGTCGATTCTAAACACGCGGATTTCCCTCTTCGCCTTTTTTCTCTCCTCTGACATCGTCTAGTCAGGAATTTCTGACGAGCACGTTGGACAAATAGAAATTTGGTTTATAGAAAATTTCGCCCTGAAAGATTCTGATTTATCCGCGAGATAGAGTAAAACTCCTCGTTCAGGCACAAATAACTCGAGTTCATGTATTCTCGAGTTTTTCCAAGTTGCAGACTCGGAGCTTATTTCTTAACAACACCGTTTGAGATTCGAAAAACTATTACGCCTTACGGTGTCAGAGTAATATCGTAAAAGCAAGCGTTCGAATCCATCGATTAAAAAAGTTCAGATCTAAGCTACTTCGCTGATAAAGGCGAGTTTCTTTGCAAGGAGTAGAGATGTAGGTCTTTTTTTTTTTTTTTATCTCCTCTCGATATCGATCCGGACAACGGGGCGCGTGCCTTTCAAGACACACAGATAGAACTGGAAAGCTTTCGAAATATTTCGCAGGCAGTTGGCCGGCGGAGTGGCCGGATGCCGGTCCTCTACAAAGTGTCTTATTTACACGGTTTCACGGGTGGACGAGATCGCAGCACGGAAGGTCGTAGTTTAGCAGCGTAAACAGGCTGGTTTCTGACCGTAGAAAGGATTTTAACTCGATTTCCTGACCACTCGAAGACTGGGGGGGTCGAGTATAGCGCGGCGCTCGCTACTGTACTCTCCCGGTGTAACATTTACTGAGATCCCGGTAAATACTTACCGGCGGCTATCAGCTGGAAGAGACACGGTCTCGCCTGTGTACCGACGAAATTGTCCGCCCAGCACGACAGAGTGCCGTAATCCAGCTCTGTGGTCGGCGTGTACCTGAGCACGCTCACGCCGCTCGACTTCTCCATCGAGAATCTGCCCGGCGCTACTTCCAACGTCTCTCCGCTGTTGTTGAATTTCCATCGGAAATTGTGCGCCGGCGGATCGGCCTCCACTTTGCACGCAATGTTCAACGACTCGCCCCTCGATGCTCCCACCACCACGATACGGTCCTCTTTGCACACCGGCGCGACTGAAAAAAAAATATTTCCACCACAGTCAGTCATCATCGCAGCCCTGCGTCGAAGATTTATCAAACACCAAATGAAAAAGCAACTCGCGTTGAGCGTAATTGATCAACTTTTGTGCATTTGTCTCGTCTCTTACTGTCGAAATAAATAAGAATAGGGTAGAATTTACTAGCTAGGATTTTTATTTAAGATAAAGTCTACAAGTTGGCTTGTTAGCAGATTAGAAGTTTTTACGCATTTTTTTGCATCCCTCAAGTGTAGATTAGAAATTCAGAGAATTTGCAACAAGACCTAAATTCCGTAACGTGCGTTTTCAACATATCACGAATAGCTATTGCAATATTTTCCATGTAAATCACGAATAACTATTAAGGTATTTTTCACGTAAATACGACTACTTTCAAATAATTCGAAAATTCACTATATTATTGTTATATCGGTAGTTTAATTTGCTTAATTTATTATTCTATTTGCTTAACTGATTTTTCTACTAAATATTCTACTAAACACTAAATATTATATACCAAACATTTCTTGTTTTAAAGATTTAAAAATAGGATCGTCACCCAATGGAAATTTGACTGTCACCGAGATATGAATGATATCAACGCGGTGTGTTAAAAAAATCACACTGCAACTCATAATCACAGCCTAATTTTTTTTTCTTTTTTTTTGAAATTTCGAAAGAAATAAGCACTCGCAAACTCACTTGCAGCATAGAATCCAGTCTCAAAATCGCTACCCTTAATATCCTGCTTTTCAATAACCTACCGCTGCCTATCACCGCTCCCGTCGCCTGCATTCTCGACTCACACTAGTCACACGTGCGAGAATCCAATGCCGGGAACATCCACTTTTCGTGACGCTTGCGAAATTTGCGGATATTCCCGCAATTCTGCGACGCGTCTGCATTCGCATCGGCCGAAAACGTTTCTACGGTTTGGGAAAAATTGAAAGGCGCGCACGAGAGAGATAGAGAGAAGTAGAGAGAGTGAGAGAGACAGAGAGGGGGTGGAAGGGATTCGAGGGTGCTCGAACGGGCGTGTGCATTTAGCAAGCAACGATTGGACGCCACCTCGGAATAACCAACCACGTTGTATGACCTATTACGCGTGGCTGTTGGTTATATATATACATATATATATATATATATACAGGAGACGGGGGAGACCGTTTATACTCGAGTTTTCACCTCGAACATTTTCCAAGCATGCACCGCAGGTTTGTCACCGCAGGGAGCGCCCTCGCTCCCGGATGAAATCGTTTCGCGACTGATGTGAAAAGATTCCCCACCTACAACTTCCGCCACCTTTGCCCCGCGATATACATTTCTTCCAATTTATCTGCCTCTCGTATCTCCGGCTGCATTCGTCTCCCCTTTCCACTCCGCGGACGTATCTTATCGTTTGGAGCGAGGGAGAAGGAAAAAGAAGCGAGGATCGTGCTGCTGTTTCAACCCTTAAGTGGACTATTGGGGGCGGCTGTTGCAAATTTGTCCATGTTTGAATCTACCTTGGCAATTGCACGACGCCAATTCACGTCATTGGTAATCTATGTCGTTTCTAGCACGCTGCGGGGCGAAGGATTTTGTTTCTGTTGAAACACGACGTTCCGACTGTGTGAAAGTTCCAAATCCAAATTGATCTTTCGCTGTTTTATAAATTTGAATGAATATACTGTTACAAGAGACTATAATTTTCGAACTCTTGCTGTATCTTCAAGTAAAGACTTGCGTAGAGATTTTAAATCTTCATTGTTTTTAAAGTATAAAGTCAGGAGGAACGTAATTGAACGTAATCTTTTAATTTCTTGCAACAGTGTAGAATTTAATGCAATTATGTCGTTTGTGCTCCCTAAACAAAAATACCTATAAACCCCTATAAACCATGAAGCAATGAAATCCAACGTTCAAAGGGACTAGATAGCGAGGCTGTTTAATAAAAACGCGGTGTTCAGAACGTCTGAATAATGGGCTCGTTAAGGATTAAAGTCACTTGGGACTAGCGTACACATCGTACATAATCGGAATAAAGAAATGCGAGACGAAACGATATCGTTACGGTCGTTATGTGCAAACTGGGTTACAGAGGGACGGTTATCCCTCATAGTTGAAAGCTCGATCGTTCAACGAGCGTGATCGTCGAAATTGAAGAGGAGTAGTAAAATAGTGTTTTCGAAAGACAGATGAGACGGTCATGAACAGAAAGCGACAGAATCGTGCTCGGAAAGCAAAGAATATCTTCCGGTGCTTCTGAACGTAAGTTTCGTTTATGAGTCGAGGCAATCTCCGAGATAGCAATTTCCACGTTATAGCGAGCGTCCTAGCTTACAGTGTCAAGACGCGGCCCGAATTGATGCATCGACGGGTTTGCACGCTCTTGCACAACGTTCTGTTAGCAGTAAATAAAATGGAGCTTGGTGTTAACTTTGATTTTGAACATTTCCGAATTTATTAGATAGGAATTAAAAGAATTGTCGGAGTACGCTGGCAAAATATTTGCACAAATCTTTTGTATCTCGTATTTAGTTCAGTATTTCAAAAGTCAAACTGATCAACTTTACTTTCTATTAATTTCTTAATTTTGTTACATGAATATGGGATTAATATTCAATTATTAAAAAACGATTGAAACTTTGAATATTGACGCGTGTAATATTATCTTTAATTTATGGTTTCGTTCATACGTGTGCCATATTTCTATGAACAATGTATTAAAATATTCTAGCTAAAGAAATCATTGTTGATATCGGAAATATGCACCGATGTTACAAGATATAGAAGATGTGAAATTGTTTGGCTGGTGTAGAATATACATGTAACGATCCTTTTTGTTACAAGGTATCAGATGTAATAAAAATTAATGTTCTGTTTCGTTTGCTCTTTTCATTAACACTGATGTTACACGATGATATTAAACGTTAAAGAACGTTCGTTCAATCAATTTCAGAAACAGATCAATTTTTATGAAGATAATAACGATTGCTATTGATATTTTTAATAAAATAATTCTAATAAAATCGCTCGTCTTGAGTCCTCTCCACCATTTCATTTCCCTATCCATCTTCTTCCCTATTTCAATGATAAACCTTCTCCTATTATTTCAACCCGGTTCTCGAGCGGTTCGATCTTTGCGAACGCCGACAGTGTACACTCTCAAAGCTATCCTTTGGCTGATTATTTGACGCCGGGATAGCGTCTAGCTCCAGATAATTAACCAAGTGGTTTCCAAAATCATTTCCGCCAACCGCTTCCCCTCTAAATTACTACCGCGAATGGTGTGTTCGTCCCGGGCCCCAATGGCGGGAAATAATAACGTATCACTTGCGACCGGCTTCCCTTCGGCAACGCTCTGACGAAAATTGGGAGTTGGAAAAATTCTCCACATTCGGGGAGAGAAGGAATCCTGCTCGAGGGAGGGATCGCAGACAGAATTTTTAGCGAGAAGGGAACCTCGAGCTTCTCGACGATGAGAAATTGTAGCGATAAAGATAACGCAAAGGTGTCAACAAAAAAAAGAGAGGGTCGGGGGAAGGAGAGATGATAGAGGGACAGGAAGAAGAAGAAGAAGAAAAATGAAAGGAAGTTGCAGGAATAACGAGAAAACAGGGCCGGTATACTTGGAGAAGGAATTTCAGAAATAAGAGAGAAGAAAAAAAGGGAAGCTTAAAGACTCTAAAAAAGCGTCGTGGTACCGGCAGTTGAAGTAACAAACTAAAAAAAAAAGTCGCAAAAAAAAGAAGAAGACAAAGAGAAATAGGTAACTAACAGGACACCAGGAAAAATGAAGTTTCCGAGAAAGAACAGAATTTACAACGTCCTCCGAATGGAACCGACTTCGCGTATTTACGATTCCGCGAGACACGCGTCACGGTGCATTTACACACAACAGTAATAACACATATTTGTCTTCGGGATCTTCGAACATCGGATAAGAGAAATGCATGCTATCAATTCTTTGTAGGTAACGAGCGGCCGTCTAAGAATAGTGTAAATCAAGATTCTCGGGAATTTCGATTTAATTGTAGTAGTAATTCGCGTACTCTTTTCATCATACATCAGGGTATTATCTCTCCTCTAAGATTTCTCGTATTCCAAATAAAAAAGATCTAGAAATCTTCTATCTCGGGTTGTCAGTCGGTCACATGACGAAATAAAAATTCAATAGCGTTGTGTGTAATTAAAATTCATTTGATTCTTCTGTTAATTAAATTCTATTTTGCTTCTACGCAATAAAATCGAGAAAAGTATCGACATAAGTAGAAACAGTGTTCTTTCTGCCACTTTCGATGTCATCTTTTAAGTAATAATTAGAAAATTGTAGAGGAGGAACGTGTAAAAAGATAAAGAGCCATGCTCGAAGAAATAAAGAGATAAATAATAATTTTGCGACGAACTTTTCATTTTCACGCAGCCAACGACGATATATATATATCTCGTCCGCCACTGAAAGGATTAGACAGAATCCACTCGTAAAATTATCGAGGCGACACGGCACACGGCGAATTATACGCGCATGATAGTGATATTGATAGCGCATCGCGTACAGGCGGTATCCGTATGACTTATCGCCGGTCATTTCGACTGATGAACGAGCCAACGGGCTCTTAACGCGTTTAATTTGTTTCCATTCGTTTCTTAACAGGGGAACACGAATAAATATTTTCTGTCGTTACTTTTCTCCCGCTGCAATCGCCGATCGTTTCTTCTCCATACTTTTTCCTGTTTTTTAATTCCGGAGCGTTTAACGATTTAACGACGATTTAACGATTCGATGACAAAAGACTCGGCGAAACGAATATTGCCGGAACGAAGGAATGAAATTGCAAACGTGACTGGGAATAAATATAAAAGAATATCAAGCAAGTAATGGTTGAAATATGTGTATATATTGGCGTAAAATCGTTGATTAAGGAACCGGTGAAAAGCGATCGTCTTTATCAAAATCGATAAACGTACGAAGATGGACAAACGTGAACTCGATATTAAAAAAAAAAATTATCGATATTTTAAATTGTTTGAACATTGCAAAGCAAAATCGTAACGATCCAGTCGACCTCATTTTAAAACTTTTGAGTTCCTTTCTTTTTTTTTTTTTTTCCAAAGAATAAGGATACTTTTGTTGTTGGAAACAATAGAAATGTAAAGCTTTCATAGCTAGATCTACTATAGTCTTAAAGACTGAAGTCTTTCCTTTACATCAAGCTCTTAAAACCTTCCTGTACGATTTTTTAAGATTGGAATTAAACGACGAAAATTCAAAAAGTTCTCACATGTTGCCATTTAATTGTAATATTGAAAGTCCAATAAAAGGTCATTGCACTTCAATCTTCGAGACTAGGGTACACTTAATTGTCAGGAAATTTTGTTAACGTTCCCACGAACGTTCGAATTTTTCCCCATTTTCGAGAACAAAAGTATCCTTGCATTTCCACTTGCCACATGATGTAAAAACGACTTTGAAAGAGGACCAACGACATTGTAAACGAGGAGGCTTCACAGTTCAGAACGAGGTCAGCTGGATTGTTACACGACTCTTCTTTTTTTATTATAGTTACAACAGACAATTTTTCATCGAGCGTGCGAACGCTTTCGTTCATCTCTGTATGCGTTCACGCTGCACGTACACGAATCGACGCTCTTGTCTGCCTCGGTGGAATTAACGTCGCGAGCACGGGAATCGTAAACATTCGCCGTTATACTCGAGATTTAACGGCAAGAATTATATCGAACGCGACGCCGTGGTTACACGTTGTTCGAGTAGCGCGAATGAAAATTTAATTATCGTCCACGTCGCGAAAGCATTGCTACGTGGAACGATTTAAGAACCGACTGACGCTCTTTGATTTTCTATGTGGCTCGTGCTCGCGCGCGCTCTGCCTTTTTCCCAGATTCCGCTTAATTGCGGGCAACGTTGTGACATCTACTTTGAAACGCCTTTCACGAAGCGGGGGAAAAGAAAAAAAGGAAAAAGAAAGAAAAAAAAAGGGAAAAAATATGCTCATTCATCGAGTGGCCCTTTGAACCTGTTCGTTCCCCTTTTCCGTCGGTGTTTGTCCGTAGCTTTGCCCGGTGAAAGGAGCCCCGCCAGCTTTATCGGATGATTTGCATCGAATCGTACACGGGGCACGAAGTTGTAATTTCTCTTTTCGCCGGATTAATCCGGCTCCACTCGTAAATTTAACTCTTTCTGATACTCGCGTGCAGGCCGAGTTTAAGACTGAGAGCTGAAATATTAGTGAAAATAGTAGTTATGCGGGAAGATATTTTAAAATGGTACGAAAGCAGGTTTCAAAGCATTGGAAGCGTATAATGTTTGATCTCAACGTGATCTCAAATTATTATAAACAACGTGCTTGGTAGGTACGCGAGATAAGACACTTCGTGCCATTTTGAAAAATAAAAATTAAGATATTTGCGAGAATATTGAATAAATTTTTTTATTTCATCAAAGACTAATGATTGTATTTAAAAAAATATAAAACTAATCTGTATATCTGTGGTTTTGATGAAAAATGCGAAAAATTACTATTTTCCATACGCTTTCATTTTCGAAATGTTATCGTCAGTTTTTAGCAGTGTTTTCTTCTTTTCTTTTAACAGTATGAATGCATATTTTATATAATATACTTACATACATAAGTTTGCTGTTTCTGTGAAAATAATAGTAAAAACTTTATTTTGGCCGTTTTACCTTATTAATTAAATTAAAAGATACGAGTCAAAGCGCGTGGAATATTGGACAATTGACGCGTAAGCTCAAGTTTCTTTAAATCGCGACTCCTACGAATAAACCAACTACATTCGAATCACACCCTCCTCCGAATGAAACAAGTCACCCTCGAACAATCTTTCGCCAATTAACAATCAACAATTCCGAAAATACTTCAACTTCTCCAGTCTCGGTGTAAGCCGAGATGATTTGAAATTCGTTCGAGCGTTACGGTCTTATTGATCGAAATCACCAAATCTACATACGCGGCGTGTACGACGTTTGGCCGATTAACGCGCGGAAATTTCGATCGAAGTTGACTTAAATCGGCCGCGAAGGAACTCGCCGCGAGTTACCCGTGAATGGCCTAAAGCGAATGTCACTCGCAGGAACGGGCCGATGATGTAATAACCCGGGCTGAACTAAATTCAAATACGAGGTTGACTTCGATTCTCGCGGTTAAATATCGGGCACACCGTGTTTTGGCGCATCCATACTCGATGCGGGTTTGTCGATCGCCGGAACCTGTGCTTTTACGATTTCTTGCCGATTTTAACTGCGACTCGAGTGGCTGAAAGTATCGGATAAATGGCATTTCGCGCGAATCACTTGGAATACCGCGCGAGCATATATCCTGGTAGTATCACGAAACAAGCCAGTCACGATTTAAGTTGCCGCCGTTTGGTTAACGTGGTATGTACCACGTGAACGCGACACGTCTGGCCAACATCCATGTCATATCGACGTCGATAGGTCAGGCGTGCGGCGATATGTCACGCGTGTGTATCGGTACCGTGGACCACCGTTGATCGTTTCCGATCCGGTGCACAGGTGTCGAGCGAACGATCGCCTTCGACGCCTTGGCGCACGATCGGAGTTGGGGGCGAAGTTTGGAGAAGAAATATTTTAAACGCTATTTTCGATCCCCGATGATTCACGGTACTTTCTCGTGGGTATAAAACAGTCGAAACCAGGAAATATCGGTCCTCGAGTTTATAATTTCGACGATATTGTTCGTTTACTCGCGAGGTAGATTCAGTTCAAGATATTTGCGATCCAAATTAGGAAACCATTAGTAGATTAAATCGCTGATACCACGATACTTTGGAAATATTTGTTTGTAATCAGTCAAAATTACAATCCTGCAACTCAAATTTTTGAAACTGTTTTTAATCTCTTGCGCTGGACACGCACGTCGACAATATTTTGTCCCAAAATTGTAATATTTTCTCAGTTTTAAAGTATATTCAAGTAGAATAAACTAGACAGAACAAATAATAAATTTAGTACTTCTCAATAATTTCTACCCAGTGATATCATACCGACGAGTTCAAAAAGAGAGCGACGAATTACTGTATACGGTTTGGTCGCTCGTTATGGTCCGCAATCAGTTGCCAGGGCAAGTGGTTAAAATTGTGAACACGTCTCCTATGTACGAAGATGTTTTCTTAACTGATCTAGCATCCAGATATATTCTGTAAAGTAAATCTCGCTTTTTTGAACGACGAAACGTGTTCGTAATTCTCTTTTCTCGACTATAATCACCCATGGTAGTTGAACGAGTTAGCTCGTTCGATCACAACCGATCGAGAAAACGCGTTAGCGCGAGAGGGAGAGAGAGAGAAAGAAAAAAAAGAAGAACGCGACTCCATCGCGTCCTTTAAATCCATCGCGACATGTTCAATCTGTACGTCGCGGACCCGGGGATAAATGGAAAGTGTGCCGTCGCTCGAGGTCGCGCTGCGGTTGGCAGTTTACTTGGCGTAAACCTGGGAATTGGATATCAAAAATGTAGCTGGAACTAAGTACGATTGAAATATTCAGCGCAAGAGTAAGGGAGGGAGGCAGACGGGATGGGAGGAATTCGGGGCTGGCTGTTTTCGGGGTAAACAGACGAAAAGCGAATACAAGTGAATCATATCCGCGCGAGAACGCGGTGTTCGTGCTTGTCTCTGAATAGCGGCTTCGTTACCAGAGTGCCATGGAATATCCTCGATTAAGTCCGCTCGATTAAAATAAAGTACGCTTCGAGGCGGATCTCTCTCTCTCTCTCTCTCTCTCTCTCTCTCTCTCTCTCTCCATCTCTCTTATCTCGTGACGAGCCGCGGAGATACTCACACTTGACGCGAAAATGAAGAGGCTCGCTCCGTGTTTCGTTCAGGTCATTCGTTGCGGCGCACACATACTTGCCGGCGCTGCTCCTAGTCACGCTCTGAAGCACCAGGCTCTGATTCGACCAGATTATCCTGGCCGACGTGTTGTGCGCCAGTATCTGGTTCTGGAAACAAGAAATTTCGTTTTAAATAGAAAGCAGCTCTGACTCGCGTTGGGGACGCGTGTTTGAAACTGTGTGTTGGTGTACGTCTTGTATGTTTGTATGTACGTGCGCGATCGATAGGGATTACGCGACGTCGCGACGTTCGTTTATTTCAACAAACGAAAGAAAATGGCCCTCCTATTGTTTCTATTTCTTTTGTTCGTTTTCTTTCTGTTTTTTAGTTTTTCTTTCCTTTTTGTTCTGTTCTTTCAGAAAGGAGAACACTTCTTACAGTGAATAGGCATCTGTCTGCATCGGCTTGGCAGCTCGACTTTCGATCCATTTCTTTTCCCGTTCGTGCTCGGACTAACGCCAGATTTCGAATCGCGATCTCGTTTCTCGTTACGTGGTTCGCCCCCGTAGCGATAAATTAGAGATAAACATGCACCGAACCGCACCATCGTGCAAGTCTTCCTCGCGATTGCATTGTCGGTCGTGTTATCATCTATCAGCACCTTTTTCCACTCGACGCGAATCGTCTGCGAATTTTTAGAAGCGATTACGTTCTTCAAGGGCAGACTGAAACGATTGGCGAGGGACTATTTCATTAAATATGCGAGGTTCAATAAGAAAATAAATAGAAATAAATAGTTCAATAAAGAATATAAATAATATAATTGACATACCTATTGTAGAATCAAGGGATGCAAGTGACGCTTCGAAATTCAGATGCGTCAAAAAAGTTTTACGTAGTCCCCATGAAAGTTATACTCGATGCATGAGGTGCAATAGAGTAAAGAGCACAGACACAAATTTCCAACCAAGTTCATCTTTTGATTTATAAGTTATTGAGAAATATATATAAAATTATAAAATATATATATATATAAAATTGTCACACTTGTATCCCTTTGGCACCAATTAAATTCATTTTGTGGAAAGAAGCGTAAAACATCATTAATGTTAACGTATTTTATTACGAACATCAATACTAATTTAAGATATTATTCAAACTACGTTGAGTTTGTGTTCTCTCGTCGGATTCGTACAAATCTTCGAGGACAATTCTGCATCCATCTCAAATCGATGAACAAAATAACTGAGGCGTGCTTTAATTGCACCCTAAGTAGAACAAAAATCCAACAGCTTGTAAATTCACAATGTCCGAAAGAGAAGCTTTAATGAACCAAAGAGATTTCAATGTTTCCCTTGTTACGAAGTTCGGGTTATTGAGAAAGACGCCGAAGGTGTAAACCGGATAAATCTTTTACCATTGCGAGCACGTTATTCGGACGAAAGAGAGTCGAGGATGGAAACGTGCCCCGATAACTTTTACGATCGGGGACGTTGCACACCGGCCCTTGTGTTTGTTACAAATTTATACGTCTCGACCGTTGCTGCAACCAGGAAAGAAACCAAGAGATGAGAAAGAATAAAAAAAAAAGGAAAGAAATAAGCAACATTTCCTGTTGTTAATCTACGCGAGCTGCCGTGTCGCTCGATATACACCGGTGGACGAATAATAACGCAGTATTCTTTAGCACCCCTGAAATCCTTTGACTTTGTATTCCTTTGTGGGGATTGACAACGAAAGCGACGACGAAAGAGGACGGAAGTCCGCAGCCTGACGGCTTATCAACCGTCGAGGGTAGCTAAGAATGATACAGGCGGTGCACTTAGTTGTTTAATCAAACCGGATGAAAAGAGCGCTAGTTTCGTTATCTTTTGTACCGGTTTCCTCTTTTGTTCCGGCTAACGAGGAGACAAAACGAATGCATTTGATTCAGGGATTTTTACCTTCTCCCGGCGAGAAAATTAACATGACGAGCGGCGAGCAGAATGACGAAGAAGAAGAAGAAGAAAAAGGAGAAGAAAAAAAAAGACGTTCGACCTGACGCCTCGTCGACGTCGTGCTGGGAACGAGATAAAGGTGCAATTTTCTCTATGCGTCGGTGTCTCGACAGAGATTCTGTCGACTGGACGAAACATGCTTCTGCTTCTCTACGATCGACAGTGATTTTCAACTTTTTCTTCATTGTACGATATGTTTGTTCTCGCAGGGGGGCCACAGGCCTTTGGGGAGTGACGACCCCACGTACCCGAGTTGATCCTACCCAGGTCGAAGTGTGCAACAACTTCATTGGGAAGCAGACTTGTCTGCGACAGATAGCACCAGTACGGCCTTGATCTTTGGTACCAAGGGAATTGACGCGTGTGATCCGAGGGGGGGGGGGGGTTCAATTGGGGTTGAACTCTGAGGGATAGTGGCAAGAGTTTTTATTCGACGAATGGTAGGATGGTTGGGATCGGAGAGGTCCAGCCTCCACCAAGGGAGCAAGTGCTGTTTGGTAGTTTCTGAGTTCGGTTGATCTCGATCCCGCGTCCACAGGAGTCGTGTATGTTGGACTTTGGTCGGCACGTAAAACCATTTCGACGTTATTAGTATAAATAGGATAGCTTGTAAGATATTCCACGTTAACAGTTTACAACAAACATAAGTAGTGGACGTACATACATGTACGTCTTGAGTAGAGATTTAATCCACATTTTAGACAGTAGACAGATATACACAGATATTCATCTCGAGTGATTATTAATATATAACGAGAATAAATATAAATATTCTAGTAGCAAAAAAGGAATCAATTCTATTTAATTGATTTATTAGTTTGTATCAAAATTAATTGTCTGATTACTCGATTAAAATCTTATTATTCGAAATATCGATGCAATGTCACATGTCCAAGTATCTTTTTCGGAAATGACGCGCGTGAAAATGTGATACATACAAAAATGTATTATATAATTTATTACGAGTAATGAGAATTGTTATTTTTTTGTTTTTTTTTTTGTTTTTATTTCTAGTAAAGTGTTTCCAAGTTTGTTTCGTTGGAGCTAGTTGTTCGAACATGTACGTATCTAAGGGAAAGAGGGCAGACTATAGTCAGACATGCTCGACCACTCACGCATGTACTACGTGTGTACTACTTATCTGCACCTTGTAGCGGAGCGAGCGTCTTTTCAAACTACACGACGCCTGGTTTAATTAGGCCAGTTTGCGACTGAGTTTCGTTATATCCTATTTCGTTGTTGTTTGCCCGGCGCGGAACAAAATGAAGAACGAAGCAAACGTAGCACTCTGTTATTGCAGAGCTGTCTGCAAGTTGCAAGCCAACTCGGTTTCGTCGTCGTGTGTTGGCCGTATTCCCCTTCCCGAATCATTTCGAATGACTGTCTTTGTTTCAAGTAATAGATTTAATATCTTCGATAAACGATCGTCGACTGAACTCGTCGACCATCAAATGAATATACTGTCGCTCAAAATTTCGGAGTATTTCATTTTTCGAATGAAATAAACTTTTTATATAAAACTACAGTATTGTAATTATAACGTGGATTTTTAATTAAAGTTTCAGCACTCTACATTTAATATTGTCGAAAGTGAAGTCTCGGATTGATATTTTCACTCTTCTGTTAGTTGATTTTTCTTTTCCAATTATTGCGTTCTACGAATATTGCAAAAACTTTTATTACTATACTAAATTGTGGATATTTATCCAAATATAAAAATAGTTTAGGTTTAGTTAAATTAAATGTTTTATATAATTCAGTCTAGTGCCGTTATATTCGTCTTTGCATTATCGTTCTAAAGAGATACGTGATTATAGCCGTATTCGATTATTTTTACAATTTCTTGATTGACTTTTCATAATACTTTAATCTCACTTTCATTGTAGTCGACGAAACGGAAATTGACGAAACTTACAAGACGAGAAGACACGCACGCACATCGACAAAACCTCTGTTATTTATTTATTTCCTTTAAACAAACGATATTTCTTCTTAAATTTCTCTTTTTCTCCTCTTCCTCTCATTTTCCAAATGAAACAAGAAAGTTTTCAAACGATAAATTATGCACATCGATAGGTTCTTCCTCAATCGATAGATTCTTCCTCAAACAGGAAATGTTCTATCATCTCGTAGAAAAAAGAAAAATAAAATATTTTTAACCGAGTCAAAAATGATCCAAGGGGCGCAGCAGAGTTAACCAAATCGACGAGAATCGACACGCCTAGAACTTCCTCCGGGATGTTTCGGGCTCGTTTCGGTGGATCGCGTTTCAATTAGCCTTGACGGTGAAAGGACGATCGCGAACGGATCGGGGAACGGGGTTTCGCAATCGTCGAACGCGCCAGTGGAACAGGCAGGGGTTAGAACCAACAAGTAGGTAAAACCGGGACACGGCTTACTAGCCGAGGACCGTGCCAAATGCACCCGCGCCTGTTTAATCGGACGAGAGACGGTCCTTCGATCTCGTTCTTTGTCTTTCGCCCGAGTCCTCTTCTCCCTCGCTTAAATTCCCTATCGTCGTATGCTGCTCGTCTTCGTTTTTCCCCTCTCTCTCTCTCTCTCTGCTTCCCCTCTCGTCTTCTTCGGTTCTTTCTTACACCCTGGAGGGAGGAGTAGTCTCTCTTTTCTTTCATCCCCCACTACCAAACGGAGGGAATCCGTTCGCCGAAGATAATTCGAAATCGATTCGAAACGAGGCCATTTGAATCTCGGGGAAGGTGCCGCAGACCGTCAGAACAGATCAAGATTTCTTTCTCCTTCCGTTCCAAGGTTCTTCTTTTCCGCCTCGCCACGAGCTTGTTCCCCTTTCTTTCTCTCTTTTTTCCTTTCTTTCCAACCTCGTCGCTCCTTCTTTGGCTTTGTTCAATTGTTTTATAATCTCGGCTCGCGAGAGGAGATTTTCTCTCTCTCTCTCTTTCGATTTTCTGAACTGATCGTCAGGATAGGTTTCGCATCATCGACGGACGAGCACTTAATTATCGAACGATCGATCGGATCGGCGGCGCGCCCTGCCGATTCGTCGATGACGATCTTCGGCGATCTTCTTAAAAACCGAAACCAAGGGGAGTCCTAAAGTGGAGTTTAATATGAAAGGGGGTTAATCGGACGGAAGATCTTTGAGGACGATCGATAAGCTGGACTGAGTCCGAGGGATTGAGAATGTGTAATGT